TTTTGCGGCCGCAATAACCGTCTTTACGATGCCAGAAGCCCGAGCGAGATCGACGACCCAAGCGACGTAGCCTGTTGGGGCTGCCGATGGGATAGAAGGTCTCACGGCGACTAACGTTAGACGCCTGGCCAACCACAGCCATGCATCGTTCGCTTAGTGACACCTGCAACTTTGATGGCAGTTGAATGATTACCCGGTCTTCCAGCTGCATCAATAAATGGGATACAGACAAATAAATGATAGAGTAGCATTGTGAACAGCAGCTAAGAAAATATCCAATTTTTTACATTAGATGCAAGGGCTTACAGGGTACTTGAAACAGTTTCTTCCAAATCAGGAAAGTCGCTAGGCTACAATTATAGTAATTTATACACAACATAAGACAAGCACCTTTCCGAAATTTGTCGGTTATTAACCCTCCTCACAAGACGTCTTTTTTCTCAACTTCCTTGCCAAACGATTCAGGTTAATTAAGCGGTATCTTCCTTACTCCTCCACTGGCATGCAACATTATGACTGCCACACTCCATCTATGTCTGGTTGGTCTCTGCACCACCACGTGGTAGGGTGGTATAAAGGAGGTACTTGCTCTACGCTCGTAAGCCACATGAGCACCAGCTCCCCAAGCCAGGCACCAAATGCAACAAGAGTTAGCCCCCCCCCCTCTACTGCAATAAAAATCCTGCTGACACTCATGCACTACCAGCGGCAACAAAACCAATACATGGCCTTTATGGCCACTTGTATTTTCTGATGTTATTAACCTAAGAAAATAGACTGGTTACGTGCGTGATGACCCAAAATAAGCATTGTAGTAAATTGCACATTTTACATATTAATTAACCCTTAAATTAGTTCCTTAGTGATCTAGAGTACCTATACTACAAGCTCAATAGGTTTGTAAACAATTAACCAAACTGTTTCATGGCCCCTTTTCTCCAGTGTAATGTTAAAAGCACTTCCTTGTTGTTGGTTTCTGATTCCTTAGAATTAGTGCAAGCAGAGATTCGTAAGAGTTGCGCTCTCCATGACAGCAAGCAGTTCTTTTATTTGTTATCATCATGCCCATACAAGAACACAGTGCCTCCTTAATGCTTGCTTTTCCTTGTATTTGTCAAATTCTGTAATACACAGTCTCTAACAGTCTTGTGTGAGGTACAATGATTTTATTTGAAAAACATTGTCAATCACTGAACGTTAAGAGTATCAGCTAAAGTTGACTGCATTCCGTCTCTTTAAAAGAAGAAACAGTAAGGACGTGCTCACCTAATTGACTCCCATACTGTGAAGAGGCGATTGAGAACTGTGTGAATCAGGCCTCAATTTGCACGACTGCTAATTATTGCCTAGTTTGCCTGCTTTCTCTACAAAAAATTTGTCAAGAGAGATTTATATAAAGATGAGAAAAAAGCGAAATGCCTCAGATGCAAACACGACTATGTTGCTAGGCAACAGACGCAGATGAGATGCATTTACTTGGAGAAATCAGCAAATGAAAGCCATGATATTGAATACGGTGAAGACTTACCCTACGAAGGATCTGAGCAGATGTGCCGGCAGCACGGCACAACACGCCTCCTTCACCGGGGTATCTCTCTATGTGATGCACCAGAGTAGAAACCGGAAGAGCACCCAATGGGTGCGCGTCGCCATCCTTCGGTTGCACTGGGTAAACGACAAGACATGACTATTGCCATAAGACGTGCCGTGACTTGTAGTACTATTTCTTTTTAAAGATGGTCAAATGGGTCACTTCGTAGGCATAATCCACAAGAATGCCTGTTACTCATTTCTACCCATACTTTATCGGCCACCTTTCACCACAACCAGGCAACAATATAACTCCAGTGGAGCAATCCTCAAATCTCTCATGGAGTGCAAAAGGAAGTAGCGGTGAAATCAGATACTATACAGACTTATGGCCTAAGAAAAGAAAGGCAACTCTGCCCACAACCATAATTGTCCTTCCTATTTGCATAAGTGCTTCATCTAACTGCGCTTACTCACTTTCGTGACGTCAAGCACTTCTACCATCTTAGATAATACTTTTCCACACAGACACGTGTTTGTATCGCTGGTGTATTGACACAGCCTGTGTGTAATTTTGCTAAGCCTCCCCTTTGTTATCATTTAGCACAACATGACACAGCTGCATACCGCACGGCATTCCGATAGGCCACAGCACCACCGCAGCATCATCCGAGGAATATGTCACTGGCAGTGGCTACCAAACTAGGCTACCAAGCCCGGAATATTATTATTGCTCCGTTGCCCAGATGAGTGTAGCGTCAGAATGCTTCCCCGATGCTGCGGCTAGTTAAATAAACAGTCGCTCTGTTTTCATGTTGAGATTCATACTTCTGTAAACATGACACTCCACACTGGTTTGAGGTGCAAACTTGAAAGCGCCAATGAATTTCTTTAGGAATCTGGACAGCACTATGCAGCCAACCGTAATGTTCTAGGTAACAACGATGAACATGTACACTCTTGATATGTGTAGTATTTACATTAATTTAGAAAAATATTAAATGTTAAAAAAGAAACGAGCAAGCACGACTGTCTTTTACAGGTGAAGGGCAGGCGTGCTGCAGGTCCCTGGGCGGAGCTGCCATGTTTCCTTAAATTGTAATTGAGTATAGAGTATAGCCTGAAAGATGTACCTGGGATACGTGGAATCTCGCCTGATGTGGTGATAATATCACCAGGCTTGATGCCCTCGGTTGCCGTCAGCCACCGCTTGTGGTCACCGGAGGCCACCAAGGCAAGGCGCGCCGTGCGCAGTGGGTCGTAGCGCACCTGGTACACTCGCTCCTCCAGCTTGCTCCCATCTTCTTTAGGTTGTCGCTTGTGATCGATCCAACGAAACCAGCGTTTCATACCTCCGCCGATGGTCCTCACCACCACTCGACCTGGGAACAGCAAGAACACATCGCACACTCGGGTCACTCATTTTGTTCTGCAGTCAATGTTTGTACTTATACGCTAACTTTATTACACTGAGCTGTTCTGTTTCTTTCTTAAACCCATCAAGGGTAAGGCTGTAGTCGTACACAGCAGAAAGTAGACTAAGTGTAACAATAAGCGACGTTGAATGAATGAAGAGAATTTGATTCTTTACAGCTTAAGCCTCCATGATGTTTCACACAAAGTAGCCGAGTGTTTTACTGCATGGAAGTACATGATTAGGGGGCCTCTTTTACAAAAATGAAGGCAGTAGGTGTTCCTACAACACTTTTTCAAAATTGTCATCAAACTTTCATTCTTGTTAGATTCTGTGGTTTTATGTACTAAAACCACAAAGGTCTTCTTTGCATACATTTTCTTCACGTTGTCCGGCTCCTAACAATTTCAGACAGTTTTATTGAATAATAATAATAAATATTTGAATTATGAGAGACGCCATAGTGAAGGGCTCTGGAAATTTCGTCCGCCTGGGTTTCTTTAACGGGCACCTAAATCTAAGTGAACAGGCCTGGAGAGTTTTCGCGTCCATCGAAATTGCAGCTGGGATTGGATCCCGCGACCTTTCTCTTTGTTGTTGTTTTACACGCAGTAGCAGTAAGCTACACAGTTTGATTTTCGCGCCGGACTTCAGAATGGTCAGCTAACTTTCCACGTTACACACTAATCTTGCCAGCCATTTCACGGAATCCTCGCGGTAGGCGCACCACTCTGCGAAAAGTTCTGCACACGCCCTTGAACTTGGCACGTAGATGCAGCTTTCGCTCACCTGTTTCTGGATCACGGCCTCCAAGTTTCCGGATCGGCAGCTTCTTCGTCGTGTAGACACCGTCTTCGGGCAATATCGGAAGCCAGCCATATTTCATTGGCTCTGGCCTCTGCACTGTCTCCATGAGCGGTCGCGGATAGCCACGGATCCGACGCGACGCCCGCATCGACTTGAGCCGTACGCTCAATAGTTGCGTGTCGCACTGAGCCGCAAGCAGCGAAGTCGCCGTGCGCGCTATGTTTGCTAACAAGTTAGCGCCATGGCTCGTCGGTAGGTTCACCAGCCCTGTCTGCAACAGCAATAAAAGCACAGCAAGAGAAAAAAAGCTGAAACTGACATGTGAGCACGATGCGACCGTTCAGCTCGATGAAAAACGCGACACCATTTTCAGCACAGCATGCCAAATGCGATATATAATCTATCATTAGAACAGACATCGATCACCGTCTTTCAGCGAGATAAGCCCAATTAAGGGGCTGTTGCGGCCATCAGGCAGCTTTACTACATGGAGCAGCTGTAAAATACGCCGGTAGAAGGGCTTCTAAGGAGGACACTTATGACCTAAACCAGTGTGCGCAAGGGGCAATACATACCACTAGCATACTAATACGCATGCGATTAATGAGACTAGGTTGTAGAGATTGCAGAGACGCACATGGATTTATCCCAGGGAGCTTTTGAAAATCTTAGGTTTCACAAAATGAATTTACCCTCAAGTCATTTGTGGCCACAGCCGAACACTCACGAGTCTCCAGCAGGCTTCGGCTGGCTTTCGTATCGTTCGTATGGCTATAGTCTCCTAGATTTCCCTTGCCTGCCGGATTATCGGCTGTCACCCAGAAAGCGGCCGTCGTCGAAACTAAAGTGGTAGCGCCACCTAAGTCTTCAAATAAGTTTTTACGTTTTTAGAGCCAATATGCAACCAAAATAACGTAAAACGTTTTAAAAAGGCGTAAACGTAATTTAAATTAACCATACGTAAGGGACACTGTTATAGATGACAGGTGTTTTGCGCTCAGACAGCAAGCAACTCCTTCAATACAAGACATAGCCTTCAAAATCTGTAGCAAACGCCAAAATTGCCAATTTTAAAGGCTAAGTACAAAGATCCTTATTCCTACGTAGGTAGCGCCGCCGTAGACGACGGGCGTTTCGCGCTCATCCGGCAGGCAAAAGAAATCTCGGAGGCTATGGTATGGCTACAGTGGCTAGAATGTAGTATGGCAATCACGCTAGCCACATGCATCACACTCGAAGTCGAGCCAAGCGTAGCCGGATTTGGATTGCTGAAGCCGGTTGATTCATAGGATTGATTATTTTGTGTTGATGTGTCGATGGTAGTATTGTCGACGCATTCACCTCTGTTATTGTTTATCTCACTTTTGTTTATCTTTAGCGACGGGCGCCGAAAGACTGGCGCAAACCGTGTCGTCGACGATGTTTACACTGCCCGCTTTCTTGGCGCAATGCTGCAAAGCAGCTATGGACGTGATGACTAGCGTGCCGCTTGCTGTCGGTTATGCGATTCAACCGTACTGGACAGAAAGCAACATTTTTGCTTTCGCATTGTTTATGTCGTGGTTGACTTACGTCTGGGAGACTTACCTTTCCTACAGACAGGTAGGGACGTCCGATGTCATACTCTTACCGTGATCGCTTGCAATGTAATGTTTCTATTGCAGTACAAAATGTGCAAAGCTACGCCCCGTGTTCCTCCCGAGCTAACGGCTATAACGGACCAAGAGACGTTCTCGAAAGCAAGACTGTATCAGCTCGACAAAATGAAGTTCGGTTTCTATTCCAGTCTTTGGAACGAGCTGGAGACTACGGTTTGTAGCCCCCTCTACTCACCAGCTCTCACAATTGTCTCTTTATATCGCAGTGCTCCAGACTTTGATCGCTCGTGCGCGCATGAATTTTTGTATATTCGTATTCCAGAAGGTGGCAGTAAGAGTCGCCTTATGTCATGAGACGCTTAAGTGAACATCACCGCCGCCATTCCCGACTAAATAGCGGTCTCTTTAGTACACGTCACTCGGAGCGTTGCTACCATACGTATGTCACGGAAGTGGTCTAGTGGTTACGGCGCTCCACTGCTGACCAAAAGGTCGCTGGATCGAATCCTGGCCGCACTTTTGATGGAGGCAAAGATGATCCTCGTACTTGATTAAGGTGCACATAAAGAACCCCAAGTAGTCGAAATTTCCAGAGCCCTCCATTTTTCATAATATTATCGGAGATTTTAAAATTTAAATGCTGGTAAAATTGTCTCGGCAAGGAAGCCACACATTGCTTTCCTCTTAGTGAACTCCAAAAATATGTACAAGGTGTTTTAAAGAAAATACGTGGCAAGTGTGAGATAATTGTAAGTGACCTAACTACTTTGCTGGAAGAAGTTTGCTTCAGTTATTTTAAGCTACCTGAGCTACTGCTCGTGGGCCCTAATGACTGCAAAAAGCATGGATCTGCTGGCGGATTGTTGTCATAAATGTCAGTAGCCGAACAGAAGGCATTATGCTGAAACTGACTCCCGCACGCCATTGACGCAGTCATGCCTCTTCATATGGTATTTGTTACTGCATCATATTTAAACCATTTCTCTCTCCGTTGCACTTTGCTTCTAACACACATGAACTTCGTAATTGTTCTTCGACACCGGTTTCTATTGTTCGTAAGTGTTGATTTTTTTTGTACATTGCCTATCTCGCTAGCTGTTGAACATGATCACTGCCACCTCTAAATAACTCAGGAGAATCCTTGGCTTTAAAATGACACCGTTGAAAGAATTCCATTTGTACACGTATCATTACAGATGTTGCATTCGTTGTCTTTTGCAGGTTGTGCTGTTGTTTGGTGGAATTGCCTTTTTCTGGCATCTCTGCGAGGGTTTAGCGGCCAGAGCTGGTGCTCCTAACCATGAGGTGCTGGCACAGTTTCACACTATTGGCTAATCGGGAGCGCTAGTCTGAACACTGTCTATTTTCACCGGGTTGTCACATTCCTCTTGTTGGAATTTTCAGTTAATCAGAGGCCACAGCAGACCTGCAAACTATAGAATTTTTCCTAGTAAAGTCACCACAGGGAACATTCATGCTATGATCATTTAGCCACCATGGCTAAGATGTTTAGTGCAAGGGCTTGTTTTACCATGCTTATCAGTTGACATATTCATGTAGGTTTTTCACACTGCACTTCACCTGCCTGAATTGAAATACGATTCAATATTTCCAAATGTAGGAAGCAGTGTGACTACATGGTTATGTTGAATCATAGGAATTCTTAAAGTTGTAGAGTGAAGTATTGCCCGGTCAGCAACTTACATGGTCAACATAGCCTTTTAAAGCCAGAGGAACAAAATTTAAGCAGATCCTTCATTTCCACCCTGACTGAAATTTCATCTATTAGAAACTAGGGGCACGAATTTCCATAGTAATTTTCATACCAAACTATGCTGTTAGCTAATCAGAACAAATGGTGAATTTTACGACATGGTGAAGTCCCGCAGCACCCAGAATGGCACTCTTGGTGCTGCCTTATTTGCTTGGCTTTCAGTGTGTTGCCTGCATGTTAACAGCAATATTTGCCTCATCTGTGTTGACAGTTAACATTGACAGTTTGTCAATAAATTCGTTTCAGCTTGCGGTCACATCCTTGTTCATTTTCGGAGGATCCCTGCTTTCCACTCTGCTTGATTTGCCATGGTCTATATACTATACCTTTGTGCTTGAAGAGCGCCACGGTTTTAACAAACAGGTGACAATACTCCTTCTTTCCTGTCTTTCAAGAATCGTTATGCTTGCCACTTAATGTAGTCAAACCGTGCCATCATTGCTATGCACTGCCAAATAACATTTGGCTAGAACTGAAGGATAGTGCGGGGCAGAATAGTGTAACGATTTTGTTAGTACATTTCATTTTGACACTGAACCAGTAGTTCAACAGACTCTGCTTACATTCTCACTGGAATCAACCAGTTGCAACTGGTGAATAGGAGAGAGATAAGATAGGTGTGAAAGGGTATGTGATGTTACATAAGCAACACATAGCTTTTTAGTTCTTTTGACCACATGTGTCGGCTGTAGAATCAACTGTAGAAATGTTCACACAATGGAAGTAATTCATATTTTCATGAAGCTAAAATCTTTAATAGTAGCAGTTGTCATTGCCAGTTATTTGTTATATACAATAAACGTTTTTAACTGACTGGGAAAAAATAAACGTGTGCACACACGCCTGTTTGCTATCTCTCGTCTCTGGTAGTAAGGGTCACCCAATCAAAACAATTTCTATAAAAAGTGGTGAATTCTATGTTTGTCGGTATAAAATATATGATATTGCTTCACTGAGGAAGCATAGAACTAGGAAGAGGTTAGTTTATATTATTAGGTGCATTGATGCAGTGAAACTGTTGTTTAACAAATATGGTGCAATCCAGCAATTAGAATATTAGAATTTGATAAATTAAGCATGTGGATAAACCATAAGCCCGTTACAAATGAAATTGTTTTTTGAATTCTAATAAGAGCACATTTGATTGCACTTATGCTTGTTATTCGTAAGCTATATAGTGTGTAGATTGCGAATTAAACTTTTAAGCTGTTCATTTCTCGGCTCTTTGCAGACTCCCGGGTTCTTTGCAAAAGACAGAGTAAAGAAGTTCTTCCTGATGCAACTCGTCATTCTGCCCATTTCCTGTGGTGTTGTGCAAATCATCAAGATGGGCGGAGAATATTTCTTCATCTACTTGTGGTTCTTCACTCTCATTGTCTCAGTTGTGAGTATTTGGCTGTGAAGTAGTCTTGTCAAAGTATTTCTCTTGGCTCACTACCCTGTTGTTTTGCTTTTCGACGAAATGATTTAATTTTGTAATGATTTATATAGGCACTAAAGAAAGAAGTGACTTAGAACTGTAATAAGGAAAGAAGTGAAAATCTCGGGGCCCATTTTTCTTTATTAGGCACAATATTACTGAGAACTTACCAACAGTGGTGCTAAGGAAAGTATAGGGGCCGTTATTAGAGGTAATTATGACAGAAATGGGAAGGAACAAAAGTCGAGAAACCACCGGCAAGGTCCAAGCCTGCGACCTTCGATTGGCGCGTACTATGCGGCAAGTTAGCATTCTACCTGAACAAAAAAAAATTGTGCTGTTACGATTGCGAGAAGCTTGATAAAGCCCCAGAAACCTTGTGGAAATGAAATGTAGGGGACAATGCAACCCGAAAATGCTTGCACCGGCTTGTCACGGACTTTGACAGCATCCCTTTGCACTAAGCAATGTGTTTGTTTGCTGCAAAGCTGGGGAATACACTGAATTCTGAAATGGCTAAAATTCAAACTTGGTGAGTTCAAGGAACTTTTATTGAGTTCCAGCATTTGAAATATGAAGAAGTACATGTCTGCTGTTAGAAAATTGGACATAACGAAAAGAATATCGAAACTAGTGTGGATAGAAACAAAACTACATTAATGTAAAGAAAACTGTACAAGGAGGAGAAAAAAGAAAAGTGCACGTTCGCAATTAGTACCATAATTACTGTGAGATCTTCAAAATAATTGCTCAGACTTGCACAACTTCGACACTTCATCAGTGGATTCTCATGCGTGACCATATTTGCTTCACTGCATGATTAATATACATCACTGATATCTTTACTCTCAATCCAATTATGAAAGATAGCCTAAAAATTTTGAACATGCAGTGTCATCCATACATACGTACACCTAAGGAAACGATGAACATATCTGTAGACTGTTTAGGGCACTTCGCACACAGATAGTAAATTCATAATTAGTTTTTGGAGACCCGTCCATTTGTGTCAATTCCAGCTGATATCAACATTTGTGAACACAGACATGTTCAACACTGCTTTATTTGAACTGTATTATCTAAATAGCAAGAACATTCTCTTGTTTAGCTGCCATTGTCTGTAAAGCTTGCTGTGGTAGGCAGTTTTGCTCCGTAACATGCTCATGAATAGAATGTTCATCATTTCACAGCTGATGTCGTTTATCTACTCGGACTTCATTGCACCACTTTTGGACAAGTTCACACCACTGCCCGAAGGAGAGCTGAAAACAAGGATTGAAGGGCTGGCGGCTAGCATCAATTTCCACTCAAGAAGCTTTTGGTTGTAGAAGGTGAGCATTTCAATATCCCCTTCACTAGAATAAACATTTTTAGCTTTAAATGCATCATGCTCCATAACACATGAAGGGTTCCAAAGCTAAGTTTTGCACAAATGGTCTGCAAAAAGCTGAGTCTAGAACAATTTACACTGCAGCGCAATGTGCCATCCAGTATAGCCAGCAATATCTCGATATAAGACAATCGAATATCTTTTCTTGAAAGCATAGTTCGCTTTAAAGTGTAGTATAAGGCTGTAGGTGAGTTCTGTAAGTTAAACAACATTGTCCTGCACTACGATATGTAGAAATTCAGCTGAATTTCAGGATTGAAGTTCAATTTGCAGCCACGGCTGCTGACATTTCGATGGGATGAACTGCAAGGAATGACCCGGGCCTAAGATTGAGGTGCACATTAGAATTGATCTTCTCAGTTGAATGCTAAGTGACACAAAAAATAAAAGACACTATGTTTGCATTGACTGCCTCTATTACACTAGTGGATGTGTCTGAGTAGTTCAGATGTGGTTTGTAGGATGCTTGTCATTCACAGAAGCTTCAGAACCAAATGTTTGCAATGCTTGCAGTTGACGAAGATATTGTAAACTTCAGAGTGTGCACGTTGTTTTTGCTGCAGGTTCAAAGAGGTCATCGCACAGCAACGCGTACTTCTTTGGCCTCTTCAAGGAGAAGAAGATTGTGTTATTCGACACCTTGTTCGAGAAAGATGCGACAACTGAAGGCGAGAATGGGGGCATTGTCAATGAAGAGAATGTGAGCAAGTCTAAGGTAGCCAACATGTCGTCATGGGGTGTGGTCTTTCATTGCTGTAACTATCTGGAACATTCTGCTGACACTTACAAAGCTCTGGTTAAAATTTTTTCTGTGGTAACTACATTGCACCAAGTGCTGCAATGTTGGCAAATATCTGCATTTTTGCACTAACGACCTAAGTACTAGTTTACCCAATCTTGGCATTAATGCCCTACACTTTTGGGCTGTCCTGTTCAAGATGCTCCACATATTTGCTTGCCCAGTTCATTAAAAAAATTATCAATGACGAAGGTCATTGTAATTGGTTTGCTTTACAGGTAATGCAAAGTCATGATTGAGTGATTTCGCAGCTTGTTAGGTACAGAAAGCTCTTTGAATGAGGCAAGTAGTGATACCGAAAGTTTGATTGATAAAAGCAGATCAAAAGTGCAACCCAGTTGCTAAATTTAAGCATAAAGGTAAGTAATAGGCAAAAAAGTTCTTCAAATATTGTTTCTGGAATGAAAACAAAAGCCTTGTTTAAAACTGCTTGTCGTAATGAAGAATATCGAAGGTTTGAGCAATTAGTATCGAGCGCATTGTGTTTTTAGTAAAATCTGCAATAATCTCTTGTAAAACATTAGTATGAGAGATTTTGTAGGATAATGATACTAGCGAGTGCTGTCTGTTTATTTTTATTTTGTTTACTTATGTACAGCCTTTTCATTGCTCCTTTGCCTTTTTATACGTTTAGGCGGAGCCTGAAAAGAAGCAGCAGAAAAAAACTGGCTGCAACAACGATGAGATCCTCGGAGTCCTGGCCCATGAACTAGGACACTGGAAGCTTAGCCACGTGATTAAAAATTTCGTCATTGGCCAGGTACAGGGCTCATTAGTCAGCTGCATGTGATTTAGTTTTTCTACCATAAGCATGTGCATCAAATAAGAAAAAAAGATGAAAGAATAGTCATATGAACACTAGCAGTTCTAGAAACATTGGTGAATACTACCGTATTTACTCACGTAATGAATGCACTTTTTTTCATTAAAAAAATCCGATCAAAGTTGGGGGCGCGTTTATTATGTGGGGCAAATTTTATGAAAACTTTTTCATGATGTGCAAAAAACACTGTAATGCAAAAAAAAAAAAAACTTAGGTCGCTTAGCCTTTTGCAGTCGACATACGCGCACGCTGTTTGGGAACAGCTTCCCTGTTGCACTTTGTTCATCTTCGGTGGTAGGTGGCACTATCTTCTGCAAGCTGTTCCTGCGCTGCCCGGGCATGCCATAAAAGCGTTTCGCGATTATATTTTCTAGATATCGTTTAACAGCAATAGTGCTATCTGCTGTGATCTCGACGGGTGTCCAGAAGTGTGCACAACAACGCACTTTGCCAACTTCGCAGCAACCTCACTTGACGGTCGCGCCGCCGCTGTTAACATTGTTGCAAGTAACCAATATTGCAGCAAGCTATCACCGAAGCATCAAAACAAACTGTCGATAACAAGATTAACGACAAAATATGGCCATGGCCTCGCTGTCAACATGAGAAGTTACTGTAGAAAGGATAGCCTATATCTTGCGTTCCTTGAGGTATGCGGTAATAACAAGCACGAAGAGTAAACTGCAACTGAAGCGAGAATGGGGGTGCTACCATGTTGCAAAAATCGTCACGATCTTTTCTGGGCGACAAGCGACATTTTTCTGGTTTTCCTGAAACCTGCGAAGCGATGGCGACGAATGGCCCTTCGCGACAGTCATGGCGACAGCAAATCCTGTCGTTGTCGCTCGAAAATTTTTTTGTATGGGGTAGGGCCTTAGAGTTTCGTATTAGCAGGAAACGACCGTTGGTTCGCAGAGGCAGGTTCATGACGTTAGCTCGCTGTGTGTTTATCAGCTGTGATGCCTCTGCACTTGCACCGTTCATGAACCCCGTTGTGGTGCATAGTTAATAAAAAAAATTCCGAGGACAAGCCGCACACAGATAGTAGAAAGAAAGAAAAAATGCCAAGCCTGCACGGTAGGCGCAGCACAGTCACTGCGAAAGCTAGAAGAGCGGCCTTTGAAAGCCTTTTCAAAACACTCATTGGGTAACTACTGCAAACACGCTTGCTTTGTACCCACTAGGGCATAATAGTAAACTTTTGGGTAGTAAGCGGCATTTGCTATGATATTTTTGTCATTTTTTTGAGAAGCGTGGTATCCGCTAAACACTTGCTAGGAAGTTTGTGCCAATTGTCTGTGCAGTGGCTCAGGACATTGAGGAATTATGGCTGAAGTGGGTATGCGCCACAGTTAATGGGGAAGCAAGAACAAGCTTTTGTAAAGGGTTGGAGCAGTGGACGGCCCACTCATTACGCTAATCGCATTGTGCGACGACTGGTTATTCTTTTGCTGTTGTAAAATGCTTCATAACTCATATTAACGCGATTGCTTTCCCAACATCAAGCTTGCCTGAGGCAAGTTTGACAAGTCACAAGCACCTGAGTAGCTCAGTGGTAGAATATTGGGCTGGCACCCAGCGGAGCCAGGTTCAAGCCCCACTGTGTCATTGGTGCAAGGTTTTTTTCTAATTTCGCACGTGTTGGGATCTCATAACAGCTTTCGCTGTAAAACAATACGGGCAGCGGGGGAAGTGGGAAGGGAGCGGGGGAAGTGGGGAGGGAGTGAGCAGAGGTGGGTGAAGTGGGCATAATAATAAAAAAATCGAAAAAGATGCAGCAGGCAAGAGGGTGCTATGTGTCAGTTAGCGAGACTGCAGCGGATTAATGTAGGGGGTGTGTTTAATTACGAGTAAATAAGGTACTAGTGTTCTGGTGAAGGTGATAAGAATCAATCAAAATTGTACTATGCCACTATAGCCATCATTGCTAGCCTATTTGAAGTCAAATGCGATATGAAAGCAGTTTTCACGAACCTACAATTGCCCATGATTTTCAATCTCCTCTGATTTCTCAGTGTTACCTAATTCCTATAGAAGTATTATCTGTCCTAAGCTTAGCATGACCCAACTTAATCCTCAGCAGTCACAACCCATGCCACGTGTACAATTTTTTTTTTGATAGCACAGTAAAAGATTTTCAAATGCTAACATTCTACTATCTCCTTCAGGTGCACCTGTTCTTTTGTTTCATGATCTTCTCTCTGCTCTATACGGATGACCGAGCATACCGGGCATTTGGTTTCTATGACTACAAGCCCGTTTTCATTGGGCTGATGCTGATCTTCATGTACATATTTTCTCCCTACAACACTGTGAGTACCTAGGCCTTGTACAGTCTATTATTAATTATTGCTATCAAGTGGAGTGCAAACAAGCCTTTGCTGAGATTCTTGGTTTACTTTTTGTGCCGTGAGAGATTCACAGTGCCCAAAGTTGATAAATCCCATTTAGAGTTTAGTTTACCGCACTACCATTGCCTCAGCAGTTGCCAGCAAGTGGTTGTTGTTATCAGCTGACAAAAGCGGAGCTCGTTGTCAGGTTTGAGAGGCATCATTGGGGATCTTCGATTTTCAGACCTCTGGCAGTTCTCTGGCAGTTAAAGCAGGTTGTCCATTCCTGTGAACATCTGCTGCCTTTGTTGCCGATAGCTGAACTTTTGCGTTTTTATGTCTCCAACAGTCACAAATATAGCTGATTACCTGCCTACAAAATGCCCACAATAGCCAAACCTCACGCTGCAATAATCACATGTCTAAAAAAAAAAATATCATTCTTTGTAAAGCCACCTTCGTCGTAGCACACTGGTATTATGGGGGAACGCGTCCTAAAATTTCAAAAGGGCTACAAGTTGTCATGCTACACAACACATTTCATTTCTTACTTTCACTCCTTTGCATGCATTGTAAAATAGTACTGTGTACCAGTGGAGTTGCTTACGTCTCAAAACTTTACTGGAAATTGTGCCGAGCTTGCTATAAAGTCTTTGTCTCATTGTGTGTTGATCTTTTCGTCCTCGTCCACTTCGGGCTGAAACAGCTGATTGCGTGGTATGTTGCCCATAGTCGTACTTATGAGAAAACTTAATTTATTGGGAGTCTATGTTAATGTCAAAAAGCCCCAAGTCATCAGAATAAGTCTGTATCCCTCCACTATGCTCAGTGTTGCTTTAAAATACAGAACCCTAGTAATCAATCAGTCAATGAATTGCACTAAAGGGCCTATTTGGGCCGGTTGGTATATATTATCAAAAAAGCAAAAAAAAGAACAGTGCAATATACAGGACAGTGAAAGATAAAGACAAAGTACTGCCTTAAAACCACTTTATCCGTCTCTTTCACTGTCCCATGTTTTGGGCTGTTATTTTTCATCTTTGATCATATACAGTTGAATCTCATTAATTCGAACTTCCAGTTAATTAGAAGCTGTGGTCCAGTCAAAGCTATGTCACAATGTGTATTCCAATGGGCAAAAACTCCCTGTAATTTGAACGGGCAAGCACTTGCGACGGTTAATTCGAATATACCGCTCTCCGAAAATGCTCTCACAGCACCACGCCCGATCCCGCGGCGGCACCTCTGACACCTCAACGCTAAGCGCGAAGAAGGAAAAAAAAGAAGAGGAAAGAAAAGGCTGTGGCGGAATGCTTGCTCTCCCCCAAATGCCGATCAGCGACGTGCCTGTGCCACGCTTCTCCCTTTTCCGTCCCTTACACATAGAGACCCTTCTCCTTTCAACGCCGCGCGAGGAGAAAGAGAGGAAAAAAAAATGCTGCCGTAAAGTGTTGGCTCTCTCTGAAGTGCTGATCTACAACGTGCTGGTGCCACGCTTCCCCCTTTTTTATCCCTGCTATGTAGAAACCCTTCTCCTTTCAACGCCGCGCTCAGAGAGAGCAAAAAAAAAGGCTGCTGCAGAGTGATGGTTCCCTCTCATATGCCGATCTGCTTCTCTCCGCATAGAGATGCTCCTCCTTTCTCGTCATGTGCTGGCCACACTGCGACTGCGGCGCAGAGGGTAGCAGTGGAGACGCAGTCGTTGTCGTCGTCTTTAGAGACTGTCGGTGCTGGACATTGCTGCGCACAACTTCTCTTGCCAGGAGAATGCTGAAGCCAAAGTAGAAATGTTTTGCAAACTGCATGCGAAATTGATTGACTCGCTGCAAAACAAACATGTACAGACACACATCACCGATTACTTCAATTAATGACAGATGTCCTGTGATTTGCGAATAAATGTAAGTCTTCTGAAGAGAAATCCCCATCGTGTGTTAGCTCAATGCACATGAACCACTGCATGGTGAGCCTTCCGTTCGTTTAGTTTTCATTTATTCGAACTTCTTTTAATTTGAACAAATTTTTGGGCCCCTTCGAGTTCGAATTATTGAGATTCGACTGTACCAACCGTATACCAGCAGATCATATACCAATCAGTCAAACGTGCCGGTCTTTTTTTTTTTTTTAGTTTCCTGTCTCTTTTGTACACAAGAGAGTAGATGTTTGTTTATGATGAGGAATGATGATGTGGCATTCTGCATTGACCTCGTTTTTTGAATTTGTGAGGAAACTTACATGTTCTATATGCTGTGCCCCTCTGTAGCTTGTCGACTTCCTGATGACCGTCCTGAGCCGGCGCTTCGAGTTCCAGGCAGACGCCTTTGCACGTCGCATGCATCATGCGTCGTTCCTGCGAAGTGCGCTGATCAAGCTGAACCGGGACAACCTCAGCTTCCCAGTATACGACTGGCTCTATTCCTCCTGGCATCACTCACACCCGCCGGTGCTCGAGCGCGTCCGCGCACTCGGCAAAATCGACTGAGCTCTGCCGCATGATGCCGACACTTGACATCTTTGACTCGGGCTCACTCAACCTGTGCTATTGGAAAACGTTATGAGCTGCGTTTTTGTTCCCAGTTTTTGTTCATCGCACTTGTAATGATTCAGTCCCTGTTTTACTTAATGACGTGATTGGTTCTAAAAAGGCTGCTTGTTGCCCGACCCAGTGGCTAACATAGCTTCACCGGGACTGAAGTAAAACACATCTTACCAGAATGCAAACATAACCTTAACCTGGCTTGTCTGGTATTTCAACTAGTGACTTGCACAATGGCTTCAGAATACGTTAAAGAAAGGTAACAGAAAATGTTTGGTCTTATTGTATCTTCATATTCCTTTGTATCTTGGTAAGTTTTATTTAACCTGTAGGCTTTTGGGCAGCATAATGTCTAGTAATGGAGAGTTAAGGTAACAAAAAGGGGAAAGAACATAGATGGCCACTTTTCTTTTTATTCTGAAATTAAGTGATTGCAAGCACTGCTTTTGGCTTTGTATATTTCTTTTCAGGGATTTTTGGAAGGGTGTACTCAGCCACTTATATTATGTGCCATCAACCAGTTACCTAAATATATTGGTGACAATTTTCCTCAACCAAGGAATTTTAAGGTGTCATAATGTTGGCAATTTTTATAGTACATAATTTTTGCTCTCATATTTTTGCGCACACCTTTTTTTCACAATAATAAATACACATGTTCATCAGTATTTGTTTTCGTTTGTACAGGCAAGAACGTGCATTTTTGTTTGTGCTGTTGTACATACACGCCATCTCTGTGTAAGATCTAGCACTTTCAGCCAGCGGGTTGGCTAAAAGTGTCTCGTGTTGTACCTGACATTTGTATGTATGCAACATTGGCATTAAAGACTCAAGTTCAATACTACGATTAGATATTTACTGCTAACGTTATGGGGGCCCTGGGACACAAATAAAGCTGATTATGCAGTTTTCATTGCTCCTTTTCAAACTGTAGAATGCAGTGATATCATTGCTTGAGTGGCAGCACCGAAAATGAAGTTGTTTAGACTAAACCACATTCGGTTTAGTCTAGAGCAACACACAATGGCTATTTTGGTGATCAGTAGTGATGCTTCATCATGTGGGAGTCATGATATTGGTTGGTCGTATTGATTGGTTTGACGTGATATTATAGTTGTTTGCATCTGGGTGAGTTAGTGATCTTGCATGTCAGGCATGGTCATCCTGTCTTTAAGTTTAGCTGTATCCACTCGACATGAGCGACGCAATATTCCCATGGCTCCAAATAGGCTACATCATTTTGTGCTAAATTTATAAAAGCACTCTTTAAGCTTCCTCGGATACAAAGGGATTTATGCTATTGAATGTGAAGTTTTGAAAACAATTGCAAAACGACGCTGGATGTGCTGCACGAAAGCCATCACTTGGAGAGTCGTCCGGCATGTCTCTTTACAAGAGAAACGTGGCGATTGGAACCAGCCTTTGACATTGGCGGAAAATGAAACGTGAAAAATAATGTTTTTTTTTTTCCTTTGCGGTGGTTTTGAAACTTGGAGACTAATAAGTTCTATCACTATTCACCGATATTGACAATTTGTTTTGCGTTCATCTCTCGATATTCAGCACTACATGCACTCGAGCGCTGCAGAATGCAGACGAAGCATTGCAGGGCCTCTTCGAGCCTCCGATGATGCTGAGGTCTCATTTTTTATCACTGGGAGTAGTCATATCTGAGGGAATTTATGAAACCTTCTACGAAATGTAGGCTTAGGTACGTGGAGTTTGCGAACCATTTGCAGTGATCATACGTTTTCGCCTGTACCCTTGTCACCTAATTCGCATCGCTTCATCGTCCTTATGGTCTTTTTGAACATTGCAACGTGAACTGCCAGAGTTCAGTATGCAAGGACATCTGGCGGATTATGCAACATAGGCCAAAGAATTACCTTGTGTGGAGTTGTGATTTAATGCTGCGTGTGAATTAAAGGGGTTTTTTTCTTTAATGGTGTACTCTGCAGTCCCACTCATTGTTCATTGATGTAGCATTGACCTACCTCACAAACGAGGTAATTCGGTCTGCCATGCGAACACTTAAAAGCATGATGTAATTGCCAGTCGTAACAGCTTAGCAAACAGGGTGTCTGGCTGCTAGGCTGTAGGATGCTGCTTTAAGGCACTCGCTCAGTAGAAGCATTTCAATGCAGGCAAAATGCACACACATTACTTGTGTACTGAGGATTCAGGTGACAAAAAAAATCATATGTATATATATATATATATATATATATATATATATATATATATATATATATATAATATTTGGTGCAGACTCATGCTTTGCAGAGGTCTGTCAAAATTGGTGGTGTACCTGTGCAAAAGTAGTACTGGTTAAAGAAGCTAAAAGAAATCGCAAAATCTCTCCTGCTGAAAATTCTGTAACTTGTTACGAGTCAAAATTTTGAAGTAAATGTCAGCATTTCTAAATCGAAGTTTGATATTTTGAATTTTAGGCAGGGATGTATTTCCCCTGCCACCTCAGTGCTGTTCATTCGCTGGTAAAAGTGAAGTCGTATGACATCGTTTTCACTATGTTAGTGTTTCCAGCATTTGGTTTAGAATCTCTCTATAGATAAGCTATATTCCAGCACAGGAATAAGATACTACATAAGTAAAATTAGAGCTGCAGTTGTGTACTTTTTCAGTCTTGTGCAGGGGTGCAGTCGCAAAACGATTCCATTTTTTTATCTATGCTGTTTGCCGTCCCAGGAACGAGTAGATTTCATTGCAAGCACACTGCTCTATATTTAGAGCCCATGATGTGACACAGATGTGACTCGCCTAAAAGATTTAGGGTTCGTTCTTGTCAGCTTAAAATGAAGTGCATGCAAAGCTATTTTTCTGGAATTTAGGTTGAAATTATTAAAGGATCAGTAAGGGCAAGTCATGGACGCAAGGCTACACTCCACTTTCGAAACCTGGCCGTGGCCTGGATTCTTCTATTACATTGCTGCAGCCATATGTAAGAATAATTGTTGGGGTTTCACATGCCAAAACCATTACGTTATGATGAGAGAAGCCGTAGTGGGAAATGCTGGCTTAACTTAAGGACTGCCTGGGTTATTTTAATAACGTGCACCTAACGAATGCGGCCGCCATGGTGGGCGATCGGATCCTACGCCCTGGAGCTTGGCACGCCGTACCTTTCCCGCTAAGCTGCCACAAAGGATCAGCTAGTCGCCTGGCTGCCGTGCCTGGTAGGGGCATTTGCAGCCACGTACCACAGTTACCCAATACCTGTTTATTAATAGCGCAACTGAAATTTTTTTTTTCAAGGAAAAGTTCAACTACAATTTATGCATGTTCGTGCGTGAGTATGCAATATGCTCACACAAATACACAATTTTGTCCGTGTGCACGTGCAGAGTTGAGAAAGGGGGCAGGGGCTATGAAGTTATTCCCATGCTGGCTACACCAGTGCTGCCCATGCTAGCTAGATTTATCAGAATAAGCGTGAATCTAACTTTTACCAGCGAAGCTGTAGGCCGTAAAAGGCCGTAAAGCGTTGTGTAAAGCGTGGGCGTAAAGTAGGCCGTAAAAGCGTTGGTGTGTACAAATATGTACAAAAAAAGAACAATCGCAGCATATCAACGGAGTGAATGATAATGAGTGGGGCGAAGCGGCCTTCAGCCCGTCCGTGCGTACGTCTATCCGTCCGTCTGTCTGTGCGTTCATCTAGTGAACACTCACACATGCTCGGCACATATCCGCTCTAGTGCCAAGCGTGTCACGCCGACGGACAGGGGACATTGCTCGGCCCTAAAGAGCTTCGCCCCTGAAAAAAAAAAAAATGGTTCCAAATCTACATGTTACACTGCAAATGTAGTCGAAAGACAATAATATTGCGTCTGGAGAGAGTGAACAAAATGTTTATTTGATGTTCTGCACAAGAAAATTGGTGAATAGTATTTCGGAGGAGCTGCGTTAGAGTGCTTCGAGCGTGTAGCGGAGGCGAACGAGCGCATCGAGGCACGTTAGACACAAGCGCCATCTGGCAGTTATCTTCGAAAACGAAGGCGTGCAGCACGCGGAGAAAGATGCGCGTCAGTCTCGGAGGTGATAAGGTGTAGAACGCAAAGCGACGGGCAGGTGCTACCACCGTGACGTCGTAGCAAAGCGTTGGAAACACCTTTTTGAGCATCGCGTTGCACTGTCAGCGCAGCGCGACAAACGCTACATTTCTTAGAGGTACTTGTGTGTGCCTCTTCTAGTATAAAGGCAGACATACAAAACTTCGAAGTGTTGTTATAGCGCCTCAGATATGCGCAATAATTGCATTTTAATTGACAATCGCACAACTATGAACTCTAAACCTTGAGCACTATTGGCGGGCGCTGCGAATGGGGTTGGCCGTTTAATGCCGTTTCAGGTATCGTTAGGGCGGACAAACAGACAAATGTACAGGCAGACAGATTATTTTTTTGTTGAAGGTCGCCAAGAAAGACCATCGTCTTAAAAAAAAAAAAAGAGCTATCGTCATCATGGACGGGTATGTGCCACAGACATCGGACGAATCCAACTACTCGGCGCTGGTCCACTAAAAACGAAGGCAACAAACCGGTGCCGAACTCCAATCTGGGTTCGAGACAGATGTAACCAGTAATAGTGAGAAAAGCTGCTATGAACCGCCGGGATTAAACAAGTGCACGGAATAGCTTGTCGTTGCTGCTCTGTATTATTTTTGTATAATTTAGTATAGTCTGGTCGTTGGGTCTCGTCAAGCTACTTATGTAGCTTTTAACCCAACAGAACCATCCAGCATGTAAAAACTGGAAAAATAAAAATGTAATTGAATTGATAATTACCGTGAGCACACGCTTCAGCGTTGCCGAAGCATCTATGCGGACGGCTTCAGCGGTACGTACAAGAGAATACTGGAACACAGTCAAGGCAACGGCTGCTTCGACAAGAGCCTGAAGGAATGTAGCCTATACGCAAACAACGACATGCGAGGTGTGAATGCTCGGTTTCAGCGCGAGCGTCTGTGTCTGGAAGTAAGACATCCGTGTTATCCACTGTGCGTCTGTAACCGTCTGCTTTTAATTTGAATATCAAAACGCTGAGAAGCGAGTGAAAAAAAAAAAAAACTAGCATCACCGATAAATAGCTAAAGCCGAGCGACACGCTAGAGGTAGCAACCAGACGAGACTTCAGAATTCTGCAGCTTCGCTTTCTCAAGCCTTGCGTGACTTACGCGAACTTTGCCCTTTTAGATGCGAAGCATCCTATACCGGGGGCGGTGTTCCTTAGTCCTGTGACGTCTACCTTATTGTAAGAAGTCATTGTGATAGTTTCTCTTATTTTAGTAACTTGTTCAAGAACAAGTATAGCCTGCGAAAAACGG